CAGAGATTTTAAAATAATATACTAAAACATAAAAAGTAATAAGTTTAAATTTGGAACTAATATAAATATTGTAATCATTTCTTATAAATACCATTTCCTAATGTAATTTTCCAAGATATTAAAGATCATAATGCAAAAAACTAAATTTATCAAAAGTAACAGGCTTTATGTTTCTTAAACTACATGCATTTATGAAAGATCTTATGAAGTTTCGAACATATTCATCCACTAGTTTTATTGTTGGAATGAAATATAGCAAGACTTGCATTGCCTACTAAGAAAGTTAGTAGCCGGTAGTCATCGGGTTAATCATTATACAGATAAGATTGACTTTTGCCTAGTTATCACTTGATAAAACATACACTATTTCTCTAGTGATATCTATCACACGTTTATGTATCAGATATTCAGTCACATGAATCACTATTTAGTAACATATTTCTATTGATTCATAACCAACTTAGGAATATCTTATTCCAGATATATTCAGGTAAAAGCTTTCAGTGTGCAAATATGAAGTTATTAACATCATTATGTTTGTTGGCACTTTCTTGTTTATTTATGAAACTTTTTAAATGATAAATATAATATGTATGCAAAAAAAAAGACCAGCAGTTAGGCCTCAAATTATACAGAGAGGTTTAAATGTGTGCTTCTTAATTTACAGTGATGTATATTTATATCAAAGTGTTTCAAAAGTTCACATTTGAGACATTTTTGGAAAATGGTTATGATGACAAAAGGTCCTCAAATTTGTTTTGTGCTTGAGTTGTACACATAGATTTAATTTCTCATTTTCAGCATTGCAGAGTTTATATGTAACTTGCACCACTCTTATTGTGTTCATTATCATGAATGTTTTTTGTAACAGATTTGAAAATGTTTACATATACTTGTGTAAATCTTGTTACTATTTCCTGATAACTTAATACATGATGTAGCTTGCAGATACAGTTATTAGCTTCTAAAACAACAAAATAAACAAGCTCTAAGCTCTGTCTTTCTGCTCATTTTCCAACTTTACCCTTCATTTCTTTCTTAACTAAATATTCAGAAATAAAAGTTTTTTGTGAAAGATAGCCTGAAACTACGCATGCTTTCTTGTACATGTTTTTGTGATGAAATATATTTGTATGAAAGTAATTTCTGTACATCAGTTTTGAACTGCTAAGATATATATTTTACAGTGTCCAAAAAACAATTATGATTAAAATATTTGTATTTATTGTCAAATATAGTCCTCTATTAGTTATGGTAGTTGCAGCTACAAATAATAAAATATATCTGATGTAAATCTTTAATATTTTTTTTTTCAGCATTGCAATATGTTTTGTTAGTGCTGTCTATGCACTCCTTATTGCTGCTCTGGCAGTTCTTGTTCTTTGTTTCCAACTCTGGCTTATCTGTTGTAATACAACACTCCAAGAATGGAGGAAAAGACATGTTCACCATGACAGCCAAGGTTATATCTCCAATTGCTGGAAATTTTGGTGTGGTCGAGAACTCTGATGTTCATTGTTTCCAGTTTTCAAAATAATTTCAGAATTTTGAGTTTCCCTTCTAGTTTTAATTTTAATTTCTGAAATGGAACTGAATAGAGATTATTTCAAATACTTGAATAGTGATTATTGAGTCAAAGCTTGTGAAGTACATGTTGGAAACATCATTTAGTTTCATTTTACTGAAACCAATTGACAAAAATTGTAAATAATGCACATATATAGAAAGAAGAAATGTCTTGTTTATTAAAGTGTTCTTAGTGACTTAGAGTGTCTGTAGTATGTGTGTATTTTGCAAAATGAATTATGATTTATTTTAGTTTAGCCAGTGTATTTTCTGTTATAGTTGTAATGTATATATCATGACTAATTTATTGAAGAAATTTAATTGTAATTACAATCTCAACATAATATATTTGTTATTGTTATCTGAAAGGGAAATAAACATACTATATGGACTTTTAAAAGATAGTTTACCAAAAAAAAATGTGTGAAATAAAATAGTTTCAAAATTATAAAGGTAATAGTTTGTGTATAATAATGGAAAAACAATGTGTAGTAATGTGTGAATGCATCACAAGGAGAGATGGATTGTCAAAAGTTAAAGAAAAGACAACTTAACACCATTGATTTTAAACATAAAGAGTTAATAGAAGAAAATTATCGAATTTGTATGCTAACGAAAATATATAAACCAAGACAAGATATTTTAACCTAGCAGAGATGTAACATTTGTAGTGAGCCTTAACTTTTTTTTTTTTATTTTGTATTCTGTTAAATATAAAAGCTGTTTGCTACTTTTTAAAAACTCATGGAAGTTTATCAAAATGCTTCTTACACTGGAAAATTAGGAGATTTATGCTAACGAAATACATCATTTTTTTACTTGCTTTCCATTATTATGTTATGTATTTCTAAAGTGTATATGAATAAAAGTCATAATTATATATATTTGAAATATGTGTATTAAGAATTATATAATGCATGTACAATATTCTCGGTAGTTTATCCATTAAATGTATGGTGTTAAAGTCATGGAATTAACTATTTCGAAAAACCTATTGAAACTTGCACTATTTCATTTCTTTGCAGAAGTAAACTTCCTATAAACATTTTGTTCCTTCCTTTATTGAACTACATCATTTTTTGGCATGCTGACTTATTGAGGATAACTTGCATGATCTGAGCTTCATGCAAAGATAGAAATCTACTTTGTTGTAGTGAAAAGTTTAACGAAAATAAATGGTACTTCAGTTGTAAATGAAAGTTAGTATTAATAGTAGTAATTAATCCAGTCAAACTGGATTAATGTCACAAGTGGGATACCTCAGGGCTCAGTCCTAGGACCGTTGTCTTTTTTGATTTACATCAATGACGTAGATGAAGGTATAGTGAATAAATTCCTTAAATTTGCAGATGATATTAAGGTCTTAGATGCTGCTGATATTACAAAAGGATTTAGATCATTTAGTGAGTTGGGCAAATAAATGGCAGATGGGTTTTAATTATAATAAATGCAAGATAATGCATGTGGGTTATCATAATTTGAATTCAGAACTCTAGGTAGGGATGAGTACTGTATTTTCACACATATTTTTCCTCAAAAAATGAATGAAAAGTCAGATCTAGATGTACAAAAATGCTTTGAAAATCTGCTGGTATGAATTCAGTCTTTATCTGGTGTAAATTTATGTAAGCTAATCGAGCACACGTGACTGGTTTCCTGCTATCCAAGTAAATACAACATGCTGCTTCAATTTCATCAGAACCAGTCAGTCTGATGCAATCTGAGTCAGCAAAAGCTTATTGATTTTCATCGACTTTATCAAGCACTCATGATACATGGATGACAAAAATGTCATCTCATCGACAGTTTAGTGTGCAACCAGGACGATTTAAGAAGTATTACGTGACAAATACAAGCTTGCTGTACAAATATTTCACACGAGATGATAAAACTGAAGACAGTGAAAAGATCGTTCCAAATCATAGATGGTCTCATCATTTCTTGCACTGAACTTGGCAATCAAATGGAAAAGAAACACTCTGGAACTACTGTTTCTGACAAGACAATTCAGTCTTGGAAGAAAAACTTTTCATGGTTATGGTGGTTGGTGAAGGGGTAGATAAGAGATTGAAGCGAGTATTTAGATAAAGAGAAAAGTGAGAAGCATATTGGCCAGTGAGGGATCACCTAATATTCAGAAGAACAGTATTGAGAGCATGCAGCTGTCTTCAGAACATCAGCAAGGCAAAAAAGTTTACTGAAGGAATCTGGGGACAAAAGTAAAATGTATAACAGTGATGTTGACAAGGAAGATAATTCAATCTCTGTATCAGATGATAACAGTAAATTGTTTTGTACAATCTTTTACGTATCAAAGGAGGAGCTGCCATCCGATAAAGTCAACAGTTTACTTAAGTTACAGAATTTGAATAGCGCAAGTATCAAATATAAGAATTTAAGTCATGTATAAGTAGAGTTATTCAGAGGTCACTTATAGAAGAAATCCTTCAGTCTGAGACATATGCAATAATGATAGATGAAAGCACAGATTAAATACAGAAACATTTACCAGTATATATAAGGTATATGAAGAATGGTGAAGCAGTAACAAATTTCTTAACAAATGTAGCCACTGAGGATGGAAAGCTCACACGATTGTCAGTCACCTGATAAAGTGCCTCACTAACCTTGGGCTTGACCCAGCTAAGATTGTTTCTCTAGCAACAGATGGTGCATCAACAGTGACAGGTAAAACGAGAAGTGATGGTATGCAGATGAAATAAAAGTACTCCCCCTTTGCAGTACAAACCCAATGTATTGTCCATCACCTAAACTTAGCTGTGACAGATTGATTTAAAAAGTTGGACACTCTCAAGACATTTAGAGATAATTTTAACTCTTTGTATTATTTCATGAGTGGGTCAAGTAACCGTACTTCAAAACTCAACAGTATTCAAAAACTGTTAGGTGAGCCTGAACTTACAATAAAAGAGCTACATAGCATAAGATGGCTTGGGGTTAAAAATGCTGTTGAAGTGGTGTATGAATTATAACTCAGTCCTGGTTACCCTTCCAAACTTTGCAGAAAAGAAAAATGCTACTGCCCGTGGTTTGCACAAATACTTTTCAGAATATAAGACAGTGAAGCTAGTGTCATTTATGCTAGATATTCATGATGTTCTTGCAATGCTTAGTGAGCAGTTACAAAAACAAAATTTGGTATTTAGTGAAATACAGCCACTGATGGAAGCAACAAAAGCTAAGTTAGAATTTCTAGAGTCAGGAGATGGAAATGCTGTAAAGAACATTAGAGACAGCATAGAACTTATAGGAGGAGAAGGAAAACTAGTGCTTTTATGAATGGAGAAAACTTAAAAAAGAATATAAAACACAGATTTAAAAAAGAAGACAGTGAGATTTTCAAAGACCTTAGTCTCTTATTGGAACCAGTGGTGGTAAATTTGGCAGGTACTGGTAAAAGTGAAGAAGCTCTTGAGGCTCTTGCACTGTTTTATGGAACTGACCAAACAGGAGGATGAACAAAGAAAAGAACAAAAACAAGTCAGCAAACTCTTGGACAAAGAAAAGCTCAAGCAAGAGTGGCCCATGCCAAAAGGTATGATTTCAGGTTCATACAAACACTTCACTATTCAGAGGGTTATACAACTGCATAAAGAAGTGATGCTTGAGTTTGCAATGCTGTGTAAAATAGCTCTAAGTATAGCTGTTACAAATTTTTGAGTGCGAAAGGAGTTTCAGTGCCAAAAATAGAATAAGAAACAAATACAGATGTTCATTGAAAGCAGAAACTCTACAGTCTTTTGAATATTCAAATGAGTGATATTTTGTTATCAAATTATGATCCAGTTAGAGCAATCAGGCTATGAAAAGAAAAGAAGAAAGGGACAGCTTTGTCAACCATATATGACTAGGGCTAAGAAACCAAAGGAGTGCTTCACCTCCTATAGGAGTTGTTGAACAAGTACAATATGTTAGCTTAACATGTAAGTATGCTATAGGTGTTTATGTAGTTTAACATGTAATTATGTGAAAGTTTTTGAAGTTAAAGTTCTTGGTAACCATGCACAGAAAATGCTGGGATCTTTTAAATCTAGTCACAGTTCAGGGTATATTATTTAGCAGAGGCAGAGCTGTAAAAAACTTAGACACAAGAAGTGCAAAGATACTAATCAGTTATAAGCTCGGTTATTTGTATTCATTCAGCTGTGATCTAGTCATGTCAGATTTTGAGCAAGCTAGTCAAACTACAAAGACCAATTTTGTGATATAAGACTTCAGGGGAGTACTTTAAGAAAGAATGGCTATTTTCTACCTTTAAACAGAAGACTACCTCTGTGTGGCAAAGCAATGTCAAGGTAATGACTCGTACATGTACCTTTTTTTCTTTTTAAGGTACAAATATTTACATATTATAAAGCCTAAGCCTTAAGCTTTATAATATGTAAGAAGAATTTGTACCTTAAGGAGAAAAAAAGGTGGATTGTTTTAAATACTCATTGAAATTTTTCTTTTCAGGGAGTAAATACTCATTGACCTAAAATTTTATCTAGAGCTCTGGAATTATAAGTATAATTTGGATGGGAATAACCTTAACAGTGGTATGGAGAAAAGGGATCTTGGTGTAATAGTTGATCTGTCTCTAAAGCCATCCAAGTAGTGTGCTGTTGCTAGTGGTAGAGCAAATAGGACTTTAGGTTGTATCTACAGCAATATTGAATACAAGTCTAAAGAGGTTATAATTTCATTGTACAGGTCACTGTACAGAATGGTGCCTGGGATGGAGGGGTTGTCATATGAGGGGAGGCTGAAACCTCTCAAATTGTTTTTTCTTGAAAAAAGAAGAGTTAAGGAGAATCTGATTGAGGTGTTTAAGATTGTAAATGGAATTGATAGTGTTGATGCATCATCTTTTTTCATATTT